GCTCTGCCCTCCTCCGGGGGTTTTATTTAGGGTTTTTGTACTTGAATTCGTTTGTCTTTTCTGAGTTTTTACTGGGTGTCCTTTGTCCGGTGGCTCTGGGTGGTTGGGTATGTCTATCCGAGAGGGGCGGTAGGTAGCCGGCCGAAGCCATGGACCAGGCTGCGCGGCTGCGCTGCAGTGAGTCTCACTGGAGCAATCCAGTGATGCTCCCTGTAGGACTGCCTGGGGCGCCCGCGAGCAGCATAAGTCTGCCTACATGGTTCGTCAGTTAGTGGACGGGATTTAGTGATTCTGCAGCCTGCCTATTCTATGGGTGAGTAGCGTTACGGATTTGGATGCACTACATTCGTCTACTTTGCATACTGCAACGCACTGCAGGTCTTTCAGGGACGATGACATCCTGAAATGTCTTGAACAGTTCTGTGGTTGGCACGTTTAGCGAACCTGCAACAACGAAAGCAACGCTGCCGGAGGTAAAGTGATATAGCGAAACTGTTGGTTACAGTCATGTCAATTTTCGGCTCTCTTTTGCTGTCCGAGTGTGGATTCATCGCCTCGTTTGGCTTCATGCTATCTGCACGATCGAAGACATTATTGCATGCTTTTCAGTTTTGCGAGCGTTGCCTACTGCTGAGGAGTAACTGGCGGAGCTCAATCACTTTGCAGGTTTACATTTCTCCCCTATGAAACTAGGGGCCCTGCACTACATTTGCTATGGCAGTATGGAAGTTTTTCACTGGCCTGCGAAGCTTTCTGTGCGCCACCACCGTCTGCCCCCCCTACTGGGGGGGTACCTGGCACAGTGACCACCACGACATTCTTGCTCACGGTAAATATAGTGTAACGACTATGTCCATGGAGGCCTTCTGGACAAGCTGATTTGAGAGGACGCTGAGAGAGGCATAAGTTGTAGCCCCGTGTTCTTGTACAGCTTCGGCACATCTATGTCAGTGTAGACAGGCAAACCGTTTAGGCCTTCAGGTCTGCTCGAATGTCGTGGTATTTAATTCATTTTCGCATGGTTTTGAGAGTGATACAGTGGTCAAACCACTGTGTCCTTTGGCAAATCTTTTTTGTGGGTGTTTTTGTTTGGGCTCCGGCCCCTTTTGTGTGTCTGGTTTGTTGTTTCTGTTGACGAAACGCAAGTCTGGCTGGGGGATTTGCGGGTCGTCTGGCTGGTTGGTGTGTTGTTTTCTGTTTGATGTGATTTGCCCTCATTTTTGGACCTGTTACGGTCCTTGTACAAATTGCATTCTTCTGCTTATGCTCATGTAAGGACCGAGCCATAGTGCGACATCGGCCACACTCGAGGAAAAAAAAAATTAGCTTCACACAGTCGTGAACACCGCCTCACGGCAAGTGGAAAAATCAATTGATCGGGAGTACCTGTATGGCTATGCAGCGGACGGCTATCGCTCGCCTCTGTGGCTGTGTGTTTACCATGGATCTCCAGCCCTCGTCCACCGGCTCTGAGGCAACAAGATACATTTTCATCAGGCCATTGAGGATCGGAGGATATTAATTATACCGGGCATCCATTACTTTGACGCCGACCGGCTGCAACCACAGCTATTGCAGGCTCCTGCCTTACAAATTCACCTGCGTGCGAGTCATCTGGCAGGACCTGAAGGGGCTGGTGAGGTTGTCGAAGATCCCTCGTCGGATGAAGAGCGAGCCACCACTGACGGGGAACCTGAGGTGGAGGCGGCAGCTGAAGATGCAGATCTTCCTCCGGAAGAACCATGGTGCCCACCGATCCCGGACGCACCTGATGATCCCACGGAAATGGAAATCGCAGGTGCTGCTGACAAGCTGGAAACCATGATGAATAGTTCTCAACCTCAGGCCAACATCTTCTTCCAACCGAACAGCCTCGGTGCTTTACCATCCCTGTGGCTCCAAGCCAAACTCACCATTTCGTTGACGTCCATACAAGACAAGTTTGCCCGCCTTTTTATGTCAGGCAGTCAAGCTCACTGACAGAATGCCCCGGGGCTGGACTTGGAGCTGGATGAGGATTTCCAAGCACCCAACTGCTTCACCGAACTCATTCGTGGGTACACGATGGGAGCAGTTGAGCCTTACACCATGATGGGTCTCCAACCTACTGGAGCCACGCGAGTAACTTTGGAAGTCATCATACCATCACCAACAGGATTGACTCCAGAAAAGTGGAAACAGACGGTTACGTAAGAAAACGCCAGAGGCTGTAATGAACTGCGGCTCCGTGCCGCAGAGCAGGAAAGGCTGAATCCTGTCTCCTTTGCAATTGGGAACAGCTGGACTGACACTCTCCGAGCTGATAAACAACATTACCTTGAATATACTACACGGGGTATGACGTAGCGACCCCCCCCTCACTTAGGCGAGAGAAGTCTGGAGTTCAGCTCTCTTTGGGGGTGTTCTCTGGTGTGTCTACTGAGTTGTTTGATGTTGAAACATTTGGCAAGGAAAGAGCTTTGCTTACTAAGGTGACTGAGGCCTGGAGAGTCTCGGCGCCCCCAGGGGCTCCTTTTTTATTTCTCTTCCTATGTCTCTCTCCTCCTTGTTTGGTGGTGGGTTTTGCGACCTGAATTCGGTTTTGTCTTTTTCGTGATCTTCTTGGGTGGGACGGATGTCCGGTGGCTTTGCCTGGTCGGTATTGTTTTGTTCTGAGAGAGGCTGTAGGTTAACCGGCCGGAGCCATGGACCAGGCTGCGCTGCAGTGAGTCTCATTGGAGCAAGCCAGTGGTGCTCCCTGTAGGACAGCCTGGGGCGCCCGTGAGCAGCAAAAGTCTGCCTGCATGGTTCGTTCGTTGGCGGATGAGAATCGGTGACTCTGCAACCTGCCCACTCAGGGGGTGAGTGGTACTTGTTTTGGATGACACTGCTGACTTCTACTTCGCATACTCCAATGCACTGCAGGTCTTTTAGGGACGATGACACCCTGGAATGTCCTGAGCAGTTCTGCGATTGCCCCTTGTAACGAACCCTGCAACAACCAGTGTTACGTTTACGAAAGTGAAGATGGTGTGACTAGCCAGTTGCGACGAAGTCATATCGTTTGCTGCACGATTTCGCTGTGTAAGTGTGGAGTCATCATACCCTATGGCTCCATGCTCTTTGCATGTCTGCTGATTTCTCTTGCATGGTTTCCTTCCATTTGAGCTTTGCCTACGGCTGCGGATTACCACCGGCAGAGCTCGATCATTTGGTCAGGTGTGCACATTTTCCCCTATGAAACTAGGGGTGCACTCTGTTTTTTGAGATGCAATTACCAAGCAACTTGAACATGTGAAATTCTTGGAGCCTAGCAGACCACGTGAGTTACGCCCGTCCTCCAGTGTAGTCTGGTACATCCAGACAGATGCTTCCTTCGAGTCATCTGATGACTCTACCTTTGCTGGGATTGGTGCAGTTTTGTTCGACCCTTCAGGGAAGCCTGTGAAGTTCTTCTCAAAAGGCGTTGACCTAGAGTTTGATTCATGCTTTGAACCCAGCTGGCAAAAAGTCTGTGAATTCTTTGCGCTATTCTGTGCGGGTAGAGACCCCTCAGGTGCTGTTGTGACTTATACTGATAACAACGCTGTCAGAGATGCTTTGATTGCTGGCCACACGGCAAACAGCTTGGCTAGGAAAATTCTTATTGCTACGCTTGGTTTGGAAAGTGAACTTCAGTTGACACCGTGGTACTAGAAAGTGGGGAGAAGATCAGGCCACAGTTGCATCCCATCATTGCAAAAAGGCGTGAGCGTGTTGGATTCAGCTTGTCTACATATTGCCTGTGCATTCACTCAGATCAGCTTGTTTCAATGCATTCACCTTGTCTTCATCTTGTGCTTGGCCACCAGCGGTTCCAAGGCCCATAAAGTACATTCATTGTTTTGGCTGATGTGGTGTTCTGGATGCTGGCGAAGAGAATTGGTTGGTTGACTTTCTTTCAGCAGAGTTCTCTAGTGAACCTTGCCACGGAATGCCACGGAGACACTTGTTGGCAGGGGTCTTCCGTATCCCTTAAAAAAAATACATGGTTTCCTCCTCATGTTCGTGATTGTCCTTGTCATCATCTTAGTCCCCATCCTCATCCTTTTCCTCATCGTTTTCCTCCTCATTTTTTTCCTCATTTTCATGTTCATTTTCATCATCATTTTCCTTTTCCTTTTCATCCTCATTTCACCATCATTTTAATCTTAATATTCATCTTCATTTTCATCGTCACTTTCATCATTTTCTTCATCGTCATTTTCAGCCTCGCTTTCATCCTCATTTCCATCCTCCTTTCCACTTCATTTTCATTTTCATTTTCGTTTTGATCTTCGTGTTCATCTTCATCTTCATTCTCATCATGATCATGATCACAATCATGATTATGATCACCATCACCATCACCATCACCATCATCAAAACCATAACCATCACCATCTTCGTTATCGTCATCGTCATCATCATCATGATCAGCACGATCATCACCATCATCATCATCATCAACATCACCATCATCATCATCATCATCATTATCACCACAATCGCCCTCACCATCGCCATCGCCACCGGCTGCCATCACCATCGTCATCACTATCATCATCACCATCAACACTATCACCACTATCACCACTATCACCATCATCATCATGCTGATTTTCCCCAGCAAACAAACACCAGGACAACCATGTTTTTGCGGAAACATCTAAACAACTGCATTATGTTTGTAATTTTTGCGCCAAAAGGAGGCGGATGAGGCAGCATTGGATGACTCTAAATTGTGTAACAGGCCCCGACCAAAGATCTGTTCTTTTAAACACTTTTCGGAGAAGACCAGCCATCGCATATGTTACCGAGACTTCCCTTTTTTCCCTATGTAACAAAATGCATGCATGCCCCTATTTTTCCAGGATTCAAAATTTGTACTTCAAATTCCCTGGTCAAGCAGAATCTACCTTTCGTCCACCCCAGTCCTCTCAAGTTTATTTGCAGGCAGAGACGCAGTTTCGCACATGTTCTTGGCTCAAGGGTTGTCTGCAAATTTGGCAGACCACGAATTTCCAATGAAGCCGTGGTGTGGGCCTTAGTTTTTCCAATCATATTTTAAGATCACAACGGAGTTCAGACTGTGCATGCAATCACCCTAAATGTGGCAATGATTGCTGCATTTCCACATGTCAAGGCGAGATGAAGGACTGCCCGGATGGGCAAAACTCAGTTTTTTCGAACTTGCAGTGCTCACGGCACTGCCTTGGTTGGTCGGAGTTCTCATGAGTTTCTTGGCAGCCTTTTTGGCAGTGGCCATGTGTCAGAGCGTCGACGGATTATTTTAAAATGAAAATATGGGAGGTCCTTCGCATGTTCTGAAACGCAAGGGCTTAATGAAGTGAATTTTGTTTTGCTGTCACGTTGACTTCTCGAATTTCGATTCCGTCCAACAAAGGTTATTTGTTTGCTTCCACATATCATGATATGCCAGTTTCAGTATGGCTTGTTGCCCTGGCATTATTCGCGGCGTGCCTGTGGCATGCTCGGCATGAACCCGGAACTCATCACTGGCACAGTGTTCTGCCGATCTCCTGCATGGCTGGTGTCGCAGTCTCTTGCATTCTGGGTTTGGTCGCCTACAGACACCCGGTGTGACACATCGCATTTTGATTTGTCACAAATTTATATATTTTTTTTATTTGAGTGATTTCTTGCATTTAACAACTGGTGATAGTGCCAAGTGTCCCGTTTGACCAGGAAATTTTTATTCGATCTATTGGCTTTACCATGACAGCCATGCCTATGCCAACGTGTTACCTTCTGAGCCTGCAGCGGGCTACTTAGACGCTGGAAAACTCGTCTTTGCCGAAGAGGCCCATATTGATGCCCGAAGAGGCATGGGTTTCAAGGACAGAGATGTTGAAATTGAAATATACTGAAATACGGTCAATTGCTACAAGGAATGATATGAAAATTGAAGCAATAACAATTTGTTCTGGTTTTTGGCAGATCATTTCCGGATGTATTTGCGCATGAATGAAACAGGCGATATCCTTCATGGGGAAACTTAATAACCATTTTTGTTCTTCTAGAAAACCTTCTTCACATTTTCCTCGATTGGTTGTCATCAACTGTTCTTGGCATGGGATTTAGTGATTGCAAATTTGTGAAAATTTTCTCCGATTCTCCCCCTTGGGCCTTTTGTTTTTTCTCAATTCCTTGGTGAAAGTGAAGGATGGTTCCACCTACTGCGTAGCCCCGATCGTAGATGCTGCCACTAGCTCTGTCCAGTTTTGGGCTGCTGGTGTGAACTGCTGCAGCCGTGGGAACTTCGAATGTGATGATGCTTGGGATGAGAAAGCGCATGCTGGTCTAGTGCTGAGACAACATTCATGGCACCCGCAGTGCCTTGCTTTCAGTTTTTTTGTTTAGGGGGATTGTCTGTGCAGTTTGAATTCCAAATGTCCGTGTGATGATGTCAGCTTAGATAGGGGGTTTCGGATTTGTGACAAGAGGAAAAATTGCTGCATGGCAATCTGATACTTTTTTCCTCCAGCTGACGACAATTACGTGATGGTCATTTTCTTGCGAAAAACATTGGAGTTGGGGAACAGATTTCGATTACGAACTGGATTTGCAATATTTGTCTATCTTCACGCTTGTTTGACTTGGTGCTCAGCCGCAATCTTGCCACACTTTTTGGATATGAGCACAATCAAACAGCAAAACAAAAATGGAAACATGCACATAACCATCACAGTCATAGATACAATGGACGGAAATGTACAGATTTAGGGATGTTGATTTACTTTTAAATTCAACATTGTTTTTTATCATTCTTGTTTATGTTGTTTATCTTCCTTGAAGTCCTCCAGAGAGCCTCCAGTTCCTTGAGGTATGCCTTAGCTGTGAAACAAGCTGCAGCTGCCTTTGGCCTCGCCACAGCCAAGAATCCCATCTTCGTGGAGTGGGTGGTGGATCCTGAGAAGGTCCGGCTCGGTCCGACACCGTCCGACTCCGTCCGACTTCGTCCGACTCCGTCCCAGGTGTTCTCTTTTGGCCTTTGGTAGGTCGAGTTCGGTCCCGAGACTAGAGTCTTATAGAACTTATAGTCTAGAGATGTCTAGAGGCAGCCATGCCATGAATCCTTATGAATCACTGCTCATGGAACACTGGTTCAATATGGTTCAATTTACAAAAAGAGAAGGATTGGGTGTGCAGAAAACAACTTCTGCAGTTTGGTGCGGCTCCTGACCTTCAGGTTGAAATGAACTACTGGATGCTTGGCAACGGCATTCTCATTGGCTCTTGTCTCATTTCCTTGGTCATCTCTGCCCTAGTGATCCTTGGACAAGCATGGTTGAAACTTGAAACACATGTCATTCTCGCACGTTGGATGTTCCGTTGATGTTCATCGAATGAAACATTACAGGCTTCAATCCCATTGCAGGCCGACTGTGTGGTCATTCGGCAGTGTTTCCAGGTGTGTCTACAGTTGTCTGAAGTGGTTTCTCTTCACATTTGTGATGAATATTCTGACACTTCTTCAAAGTCTCTTCAAAGTCTCTTGAAAGTCTCTTCCATTGACTCTTCTATACACTTTCTTGTCTTTCTTGTCTTTCTTGTCCAGCACTTTTGCACATTTTTTCACTTCTCGCAACGTGGCAAGGAATGTGGTGCTCCTGCGCTTCACAGCTCCACCGGAGGCACAGGCCTTTGCCACGCGGCCATGAGGGCCATGACGGCCATGACGGCCATGACGTAATGCCGTGGCGCCGAATCGCGCCGAGAAAACTGTGACTGTTGTGCAATGCGTCGCAAGACGTGCTGTGGAAGGCGTACAGTGTACTCTTACCATTGATATCATTGATATATATATATATTGATATCTATTGATTTTGTAGGTCATAGAAACAAAGAAAGGGATTGGCATGGATTGGCATTATTTGCAATGTACCATTCCATGCTCTCAAGTCTGACACGTATCAGCGCAAGGTTTTCAATGGATCATTTAGCACAGACTAGTTCATACTTTGCAGAGTCGGGGTATACATCGGTCGCTTGACACAAATCGGGAATGTAATCAGCTGCAAGCTATCACTCTAGCGGCACGAACACTGCAGGCAAATACGCTTTGAACATTTCTCCTACACATCAAAAGCATTTCAAAAGCATTTTGCACTCAAAGGCTGGGGTATCCCCCCAAACAAGATAAATAAGTCATAATAAGTCCTTCTATCGTTTGCAGATGTGACTGTTGCCAAGACAGAATGCTCCAATTTTGAGTCGGCAATGCGGCTTTTTTTCCTTCTTGGTCTTCTTGGTAACTTGGATGCAGATTGTCACACGACGATACACGTGATGTGATCGCATTCTTTGTGCGCCAAGGCCAAGCCACTGTCTATGGCTGGCCATTTTCAGAACCAAAGGTGGGCGCAACATGCACAATGTCATTGTGGTCATTGTGGTCATTGTGTTTGGTGATTTTCAGGTTCTGGCAATTTGATGCAATCTGTTCTTGACTCTCGAGTTGCATCAACTGGTTGAGTCATTTGGTTTCAAAACTGGAACTGGAGCTCCGCATGCTCCGTCGGCACAGGTCCAGCCGCCTCGACTGGAAGGCTTTCCTCAAGGCTTTCCTCCGGGTTTCGGAGGTGCTTTCCCTTTTGGAGCCCCAGCCGGATGCCTATCTCGACCTGGGGACCAGGATAACCCTGCAGGATAACCAGGCAGCCAACTGCACGAGAAATCGCATGAAACCAGATATAACCAGATGTATCCAAGATGTACGATGTCCAGGATATATCCAGAATTATTCAGATGTATGATGTATTTACACTGTCATTTACATGTATCAGTGTTTGATGTATTGAGAATTGTTGAGATGCGAGTTCAGGCAGACTTTCAATGACTTTCGCTCAGGTCATTGTTGTGGAGCACCACAGGGGCTTCAATCCCTGGGAGGAGAGAACCTGGCACTGTGATGCACTGTGCCACTTCACAAATCACAATTTGAGACAATTTGGGACATTGGAGAACTATGGAAGAACAATGCCTTGAGTAATGCCTTGCCAAATCTTGCTAGCTACAGTGTAACTGCAGTACGTGACTAGGATTAACTAGGCATTACAGTTTTACTACTTTGTGTTTTACTACAGTTTTGAGTTTTGTGCTTGAGTTTCTGAGTGCTTTCAAGTCGAGCTTGAGTGGAAGGACCTGCACAAGAATGTGGAACGGGTCGTCCGAACGCAGGCGCGATTCCAGACGCCAAGAGACGCCAAGGGACGCCAAGAGTGTTTCCAAACGAGTTCCGTTTCTCTTTGGATCTCTTTCACTCTCTTTACTCTTTGAATGTCTTCGAATCTCTTTATATTTTTGGATTCAGTACCAGATTTGCGACTGACATCGATTGAGCGTTTCTGCCGTTTCTAAAATGTCATCAGATGTCAGCAGATGTCAGCAGATGTCAGATTCCAGGCTGGTGAGCCGAGAGCTCTGCAACCAGTGCAGGCTGGTGATATGCAAAGTCACAGCGTTCACATTGAGTTCACATCATGGTGAGGAATCAGTGCGGAACTGGGATTCCGTGGGAAGAAAATAGTACGTGCATTCTGGGGAGTATACGTTCATTTATAGTAGCTAGACTAGATAAGCTCATTGCTCGGTTGTTATGTTTTTCTATGTTTTTCTGATTCGCATCTGTGAATCACAGAGATCCTATGACAGCCTTGTTTGATTTCCAGCTGTCACTGTGACATATCCTGACGCAGATGCAAATGCAGCTGGGTGGTTTGCTAGACATGTTTGGTGATCATCACGCAGGCGCCGTCTAACGGACTATTGGCAAGCAATATTGGCAAACTGTTAGTAATGTCAACCCCGGATTAATAATCCGTGGTTTATTAATTAGGGGGGTACTCCCCAAATAGTCATAATCTGATACTTAAATGTTATCCCTCCAATTAAACAACCTAGGGGTTTATTAATCCAGGGTTGACATTATACAGTGTTAGCAAATTGATGAGGCCTCTCTTGGTTCATTGGAGAGTTGACACATCTTGAATTTAATCCTCAAGTCTGCATCAAATGTGTAACCTCCACGGCCAAAGTGGTGGATGCGAGGCCATCACGGTTTGGCACAGGGAAGCTTTGAGGCCAACGAGTGCCAATTGTGTGCCAATTGTGTGTCAAAGGGTAGTACTGAGATGGTACTGAGATTGACTGAAGTACGGCTGAACTACGTAGTAACTACGTGCAGCATTTAAGCATATTTAACCATTGGCATGCGTGGCCACGTTGACACTTGTGAATTCGTAAAGCCGAGTTTGTGAAGTTTGAATATGCATTGAATCATCACCATATGGCCATATGGTACCTTGATGATCCTTGATGTGTTTGACCCAGGTGCATGACGATCACCAGTCGCGTGTTCTCATCACTGCCACTTTGCCTGGCTACGAGGCCACTGAGCCATTGAGCCACTGACATGATTGCCATGGCTAGTTGCGCAAGACTGACATGATTGCCATGTGATATAACAGAGGATTGCGAGAAAGACCATGGCAGCTATGGGCAATCGGTTGCGCAAGACTGGAATTATGCCAATCATAAGATGCCGACTGGCAAGTCTCATGGAGTCTAGTCCCTCTAACAACACACGTGGAAAAGATGGATTGGTTGTATGACTTAAAGGAGTTTCTTTGTGAGAAGGAGGTGTCTGAAACTGTTATGGAAACCTTTCCACATTCAAAAAAATGTAGTCAAATCAATTAAATTCCACCACAAAATCCTTCTGTCCTTTGGTGTTGTGGGTGATTTCCGATAATTTGAAATTTCAAGGGCTGGGACCTGAACTCCGCCCTAAGCGCCGCGCAGCTTGGCGCCAAGAGCAGTGAGAAGCCTCTCTCAGTCCGAGCAGTTGGAAGGCCGAGAAGGGCCGAGAACTCCACAGCAGAACGACGAACTGATGAACTGATGAACTGACAGACTGATCTGTGGTGAGACCTGAATATCCTGACTTAAAGTTTTAAAGCACTTCAATGTATTTGTTCAGATTCTCGGATTCAAGCCGTGCATCGTGAATCAGATTTCTTCAAGCTTAAAGCAGCTTAGCCTCCATGGTCCTCCATGCAGCTTCACATGACACATCACATGGCCACGAGTTGCAGGTCGCTTGTGATAAGTGGCACACATCGACAAGGTCCGTTGATCAGCCAGTGGCAGGCCAGAAAGAAGTTGGTTCAAGTCACTGAAGTCACTGAAGTCACTGAAGTCTGCAAGTGTCAAGAGCAAGCGACCCTTCACAGAGTTGTCCTGACTGTCCATGTCTCCCAATGCATCTGAGACAAATTTGAAAAGAGTTGATCAAAAGACGCAATTTCACTATGACTTTTCTACTATTTCCATGTCCATTATGTCCATTTATCAGTCACCTTGAAACATGATCGAAGAGGGGTAGAATTGCCACCAACTGTCATCTGTCATGCAAAAACAGGTAACACAAAAACGTTTGCTACACAGGATACACAGCTTTTTGTTTTGCCGCTCACGTGGCCCCGTGTGCTCAGCGGGTCTTCTCCGTGCCGAAGGGGTGCGACATGAAAAACGTGTCGGTCACGTGCGCAGCTCATCACCAAGCTCGGCCAAGCTCGGCCAAGCTCGGCCATTCTTCCCGTTCCTTCTGAATTTGAGCTTGAAGGTTGAAAGAAGGTCTTATTTTGAGAGTATTTCTATGTAGTTACTATAGTTCTTGAAATTTTGAAATTCCTTGGTGTGTTTTCCTGTGTCTATGATGACTCCAGTCCCACTGTAAACATCAACGAGGTACAACTCGGGGAGTGGCAACCTGACAGTTGTAGTCCCTCGGAGCAACGTGACTGCGCTTGCCGATGAGGAGGACTTCAACCGAGATCTCACCTGGTCAAACGGTCAAACCTTGTTGAAGCTGAATCCAAACTGAATCCATAAAGTGTATAGGAAGGCATCTTGCATTGTCTTACATTGTCTTACACCACCAGGACAAAAGTCTTCCTGACTTGCAAATAAAGTGGCCACAGTGTGTGTGTGTGTTTCTGTGTATGGGTAGGTAGATATCTGAAGCTGAACATGGTCGCCATATTTTCTTCGGCGGCCCTGAGCATGATAAAAGACTCCCTGGCTCCCTTTGGTCTTGCGCCAGGAGTCCGATGACGATGATGACATGATGGAAACTTGGCAATGGACCAGTAAGATACAATGAGATACAATGAGTACAAATATGAGTACATTTAGTACATTTAGTACATTTAGTAAGTATCCTGTTTTAGCATCATTTAGTGCATGTGCTGTGTGCCAACATGTGTCAACATGCCAACATTGTGTTGTCATATGGGCGGCCCAGCCATGTCAGATCTCTGTTGCGGATGTCAACTAAGAACCTGCCGCCGGCTTTGCGGGCGCTCAGGAGATCAAGACAGAAACGAATGTGATATTACATATATAACATATAACATATATATATATATAACTAAAAAATCAGCATATCAAGACAAATATGTCAAGAATTGTCAAAACATATCACAATATATTCAACAAATCAATGCAATATAGAGATATGGTCGCTTTACATTCGGATTTTTGAAAGCACTTGGAGTGCCACTACCAGTAGCTTCAAGATGCTACAGACTATAGTCCTGGCATGTCCTGATATTCTTTTGTCTTCGTCGCAAAAGTGGAAGCTCTGGTTCCGTACATAGAATTTCCACATTCTTTGATCGCCGATCGCCCTCCAGGAGTGGCCTGCCAGGCCTCATGGATCAAATGGCCGGAGTGCAGGCCAAACAGAGAAGTCTTCACACACAGGAGGTTTTTGCAAAGCAGATGCGGAACAATCTAAACTTGATGTCTCTCGGATCTTGCATGTGCGCCTTTGCTCAGGTTTTTGCTGATCGCTTGCATTTTGTGCTATGTTGCGCTATGTTGCGCTGTGTTTCGTTGCCATTTCAGTCCAAGAGGGCTCAGTCCCCACTTGTGGGGAGCCCCCAATTGCTGGGGCTGGGGAGCCATGCACGGACCCTCAGACCGTGCGGTTTGCTACGAGATGATACGAGTATGGCGTGATGTCCACCGTTTCGACTTTGGTACCGATGCAAATGTGACAGTGACACCATGTGACACCGCTAAGAAATAAATGTAATCTGCTGGTTCGATGCCCCGGTTGGACCACATAATTGCACCACATGTTTGGAAATGCATGAATTGCATCACACTGTGTGAGGTCACTTCATGGCGATGTGGCGTCAGCCATCGGCAAGCAGGATGGGACCATACGATCAGTCACTGTTCCTAGCAGTGGTACGGCTTGCTACGTTGCGAAATGTTGTGAATCGGAATGGTGACTGCTCCAGGTTGAGCAGATGATCCTTCAGGCAAAGAAGGATTCAGAGCAACGCGTGAGGTCCGGATACACGTTGCTCTGAATCTTCTCTCATGTTCTCTGAATGTTCTCTCATGTTCTCTCTGTGCTCAGTGAATCTCAGTGACGGGAGTCGAATCAGGTACCGAAACCAGTCAAAGTCAACTGAGTCAACTGAAAGTCTCTATCCTGCTGTTCAAGGCATGAGCTCAACGTCGCACGAACGCAGCTGCAGCAGATGGAGGACCTGAAATTTGCGATCGAATCCCATATTTGAAAACCCTTGTCAAGAGCCTCCAAGAGCCTGAAGGCATTTCAAGACTGGAGCTTGTTGCACAGCTTGTTGCATTGTTCTCAGGCACACATCACTGAGCTGTCCCAGCGCCTGGAACGCTGTGTGCGACTGAACACTTCAGGCCGGAGCAGAATTCGTTGCATATATTCAATATTCGTTACATAAATTCAACATGTTCGTTACATGTTTGTTGCATGTTTGAACAGACGGCGAGACAGTTTCAAACGTTTCATTTTTCATAGCAGTTTTGGAAATGAATTGAAACGAGATTTTGGCTTTGAACACGAGAAGTGCAAGGTTCACCTGACCCCTCTGTGACGGTTGACCGAGCTTTTCTGAGTGGCGAGCTGAGATGCATAGAGTGGATTCGCAACTTCTAAATACAAACACATCCCAAATGCCGGACATGTTGAAAGAACAATGGTATTCAGATGCGTTCAGGATGTACTGTATTTGGTTTATTAAGATTGATTAAGCATATTCAGTACATTGAGTATTCAATTCAGAGATTCAGCTTATGCACTTGAGCATTCCATGCAGGTCAAAAGATCAAGCAGCTGGAACAGAAGTGGGGGTCAGAGGTGAAAGCTTTGAAGCAGGAGAGTTTGATGGCGGTGTATGATATGTGCTATGAAAACCATGCTGATGTCATGACACGAGAAACACAGAACCGAGCACCCTGGTTACAGCTGTAACCAGCATGAGCCGTTTCAGAGCATGTCACAATGTCACGGCAGGATTTGCATCGAACGATCTTGGCTCATAACCACAATTCGGACCTGATGCGACACCATCGAGATGCTCTTGACGAGGCTGTGCTGGCAGTGCTGGCTGTGCTGGCAATGCTGGCAGTGCTGGCTGTGCTGGCAGTGCTGGCAGTGCTGGCAGTGCAAGGATAACTCAGGATGACCTAGGATTTTTATTTGGATTTTTAATTACGCGCTTGTACTGCTAAGATCTGTAGACTTACTGTGTATTTATTTACTGTGTATGTACTATTTTTTAAAGCTAAAACGAAAGCAGAATTGTATAGATTTGGACTCTGGATATCTCTCAGCGGGTAAGGCGAGACGAAAATTGGATGCGCAACCAGCGCCTAAAGCAGAGCAGGCGAGGAACAGAGGATTGGTTCAGTCGTGTTATTTCAGTGGACCTGCGATTTGGACCTCCAACATGATGTGACCCTCAAGCGAAGATGACACCCCTGACAAAAATCGATGGTCTGGTATGGTCTGGTTATCATTCGAAGCTGATGTATTCGTTCATCAGATTTTACCAGTCATGGAGCGGTTCATTTACTGAGTTCATTTGTTCATTCGATATGGAAACTGATGGAAGCCCAGGTGGACGCACAGATTGAGAAGGTGGACCGTATGTTGCGGGCCGGGGCAGTGCCTGAGAAGCAATTTGTCACTGTGGGGGAGCTTCAGAGAGAGAGAGAGAGAGACTTCATATACATATACAGATACATGCATTATATATAATTATAATATTATATATACACATAAAAATAGTTATATGAATATAGACGTAGACTTAGAGACTTAGAGATCAGTGGAAAGAAAGTTTAAAGATGATAACTTGATGAGTTTTTGCCGTGTCCCCATGACTTCTCCAAAAGGGTTCAACATTTGAGGCGAAGCAGCGTGCCTTGGATGCCCTCACTGAACGGCTCACGCAGCTAGAGACACAGGCTGTGGAATGGCTGAAGTCGCGGAAGTCGCGGAAACCGATGGAAACCGCGTGTGGCTTCGGGGTCGCTTGGGAAGTTCTTCACAGAAATGAGGGAAAGTGGCAACATATGGCAACACTATGCAACATGTCAATCATGTGGCCACAGGCAGTCAACTCGATTGACTCTTCCAAAGTTTGACTTTGAGTTCGTTCAACCTTTGTGAAGTTTGGATTTGCCATGATTTACGCAAAATTTACCCGCTTGGGCAACTTGGGCCCTTACTGCAGGCCGCTTCCCTGTTCCCAACATCAGTGGCAAGCGTGCCACCAGGCCTGGCCACCTCTCAAGTCACAAGTCATTTCTCAATTCATTCGATTCATTCGATTCGATTGGGTTCGTAATTGTGAAACAATTGAAACACCAGGGTTCCCGTGGTTCGCATCGATTCCCATCGGTTTGAAAATAAGTTTATGAACCGCGAAGTGTTTCGTTCCGGTTCGGTTCTGTCGCGGTTCGTGTCGAGACCAGTTCATCGATTCGAAATGTCAAAAACACATGATAAGAACATGTGAAGAGACTGGTTGAAAGTCGAAAGTCGATTTGAAAACTCGCGTTGCATTGCTGGTTGCATTGGTCGCTCGAGGCTTGGCAGCAGCACCTGCTGTGCCGAATCTCGGATGCACTTCCTTTGCCGTCGATTCAGTGCAACAAACCGTGCAACAAACGAAACTAACACATCTTGGACATGCTCCCGTGCAGTGTGCATCCATCCTGTTCCGGAGTGCCAAGGAAGAAAGGAACCAAGAAGGACCTGCAGTGTTGGAGTGTTCATGAGTGTTCATGAGTGTTCTATGGTTCTTGAATGTTCTTAACAGTTCTTGAGGTTTTAATTTTGGATCTTGCTTAGAGTATTCCTGATTCAATTCATTCCCTCAGTGATTTGTTGTCGGTCCTGCGAATTGCATGGACATGTCAAATGAAGACAAATCCAAGTACTGATGTAGAAGACTACGGAAGCTTTACATTTTTTCTTTTTTGTTTCTTAAACATTTCCATTTCCATCATTACCTTTTGTTCATTTACAACTGTGCACAGTATGCCCAGTATGCGTCGGCGCAGGAAGGAGAACTGCCGAGTCAGGAAGAGGTTCGTGCCATGTTCGAAAAGGTCCGGGTCCCTGGATGGCCATGGAGCTGATGGAGCTGAGACTGCGATACGAGATGCTGACCACATGGGTGCCACATGGGTGCCACCTTTTATTTTCATTGGTTTCCATCATTTCCATCATTTCCATCATTTAACCATCATTTCCATCATTTCCATCAGCCTTCAAGCGATTTACCTGATTTATCCTGATTTGACCTTAACAGATTCATAACAGATTCATAACAGATTCATAACTCATACCTCATCATGAAGCCCCACTGGAAGGAGATCATCTTCCTGGAATTGGGGTTGACATGGGTCAATTCCTAGCTGTAAGTGGTCATTTAGGGCAAGAGAATGAATCTACTGCCCAGCTCAAACATGTTCATCAAACAGAATCAAACATGTTGAGGGTTTATCATGGTTTATCAGATAATTTATATTAATTTATCATGGTTTATCGTTTTAGCAGCTTTAGCACTTAGTAAGTGACGAGATCGCTTTAGGTCCACCTGACTCCACCCGAGTCACAAAAATTGATGCACCTTCATGCACCTTGATGCACATTGGGCTGTCGATGAAATGACAGACTTCCAAGCGTTCCTTCAACTATTGATCCATGATGATCCATGATTGTTGTAGTTTCAATCATTGTTCAATCGGTTTCATTGTAGATTGAAGTATTCACACTAAAAATGATGATACTCAAATTGAAATTAGTGTGCTAGTGCTGTGCTGAGTTCTCTGTAGGCTGCTCGTGGTGAAGGCGCTAGTAGCTTCAATGCGGAGGTCTGACCAAAATCCGGGATCCGACTGTGAGATGTCTGGATCTAACCAGTCGGATGAGAGGTCGGAGAAGAGGGAGAGAGTACCATCCAGAATTGTGTCAAGAGGTGACCAGCGCATGAGGCGTTTGGTTTTGTTCATGTTTAACATGTTTAACATGTTTGACATGTTTAACATTGTTTAACTGTTACTTGTTCTATGCAAATTGAGTGTGACCCCTTGGAACAGGCGCCAGTTTTCATTCCGCGCTCGGCGGCTGCTGATCTGGATGCGGGTTCACCTGGAAAGGATGCGGCTGATACGGCCAGTTCCTCAGTTATCCAGGAGCGATATCTGAACTCTGTAGCCACGGCAACATGTCATACAAATGTGAGACTTTTTTTTTGGCCAGAAAATTCAGACTCATTGAGTTCATATGACATCATGACTTCGTATGAAGTCAGTGTCCCTTGTTCAGAAGTCCACCCATTGGAGCAGTGACCAAAACCACTGTTGACAATATGTCACAATAATCACTGACGTGAATCCTTACCACACCTTACCACTATCGGATCTATCGGTTTGACTGGTCTGACATGTCCCTTTTCTTCCAGGCACCAGATGAATCCGCAGAGGCCATCGCTCGCGACGTGACGTGATTTCTGCGACATGTGCGACATGTGCGACATGTCATTCGAAGTGCCAGGCACCTGAAGCAGATGAATCGGCAGAGGCCCGACCAAAGCCGAGATGGGAGCAGTGTACACAGAAGTGGTCATAGTGATTTATAGTGTTCATATACACAGAAGTCTTTATGATTTACACACAGACAGTATACATCAATATAATTCACTATAATATATGTAATAATAATATATGTAATCATATAAATGTAATAATATAATATAATATATATATAATATATGGCTGCGAGTCAAAATGTAAAGCCCCGATCCATACCCTGAACCCACAGGCCGATCCATACCCCCGATCCATACCAAAACGCAGATGATCCAGACCGATCCATACGTCTGGATCACCGCGGGCCGATCCATACCCGAATTTTGACGCAACCCCATATATATATATATGATATATTAAATATATAATATGTATACATGATACCAAGAGTTTACATATCGTGTAGTGACATAGGATGACCAAAACATCGTAGCCGATGCCTTTGACGTCAGGTTGCAGAAGCAGAGGAACCGGCAGAGGCAAGATGACAACCACTTGACAGGTTCGAAAAAGTATACTGATTTGATGTTTTTCTTTTTTAAAATACTTTTTAAATACTTTTTAAATGTGTTTAATGGATCTGTTATGTTTTGTTCTTTGTATTGTAGCATGATGAGACCTATGGCATCCTTGTGATATTCTGCCAGGTGCCGGAAGGAGAAGAAGCGGCAGAGGAACCGGCAAAGGCACAGCGACGCAGCGGATCGCAGCGGATCGCAGCGCAGCTGTCGAGGACACGTTGCATTTTTCTTAGCCATGCGCAGGTGGCAACGGCAGAATAAGCCGGCACGAAGATCAGGCTCTGACGCGGAAAAAGAGTTCCAAGAGAACAGTTTCCACAACGAGTTCGACGAGTTCTGTGTTTGCACACTGAGCTTTCAGCCTGGTAGGTGAGGAGACTGACCTTTGTGCCAAAGTCTCAGAGTTTGGCTTAGACTGCCTATGTAATCCTCTCCCTACTCTCTTTCTCCTATATAGTTACTTGTAGTTATAGTATGTTATAGTTAATAGTTATGATTCATGATTCTATACGTACATATATGTATATATATATGTATATATATAATATATATATACATACACGTATAACACGTAGATATAAATAGTTATATATAATATATATGTTTTGTGCACATAATATGAGATTTGCCCATTCTCTGGTGTGACTCCGTAACTTTGGGAAGTATTCAAAACGACAAAACATCGACCACGGATGACACTGTCCAAGGCACTGTCCATTTGAGCCGTATGAGGGTCCTGCAGCCGCGGTGGCCCCTGCGGCACCTGCCAGTGCTACCGCAATCTGACTGTGAAAAAAAGATGAAAAAACGCTTCGAAAAAGCGCTTCGCAGAGTGAAAATCCAACTGATTTGACTTTGACTCTGACATCCTTTGACACACTGTGTCCGGTAGGATTTGACTTATGGTCCGATAGCATCCGAATCCGAATGACGCTCCAGGCACCCCAGGGATTCTTGCGAGCCTCCAGACCAATGGGTTTCATGGCTGCAACTTTCGCCGCTCTTCGGATGATATTTTGTAACCACGAATCGTTACGAACCTTCTGCTAATTATGTGTGGATTGTGTGGTTGGTGTAGGACGTCCGGGATATTTCATTGCAAGGGAGTGGAAGGGGCCAACCATGTTATTTATCACGCGATCCTTCCCATCTTCCCTCTGTGTGCTTTAACTCTTTTTCACTTGTTTTTTTTCTTGCATTGGCTTGGACTTAAGTAGTGTCAAACGGCCCAAACAAAAGGAAGTGAGGAAATGCAACTGCTTTGAGATTGCATTGAGCGAAAAATGACGGTTTTTCTAATAAACACAGATCGTCTATCCTTCCCTTCTCATCCCCCTCCCTTTTCTCCTCTCGACACTACCTCCTTCCAAAACGCATCCCTTTCCCCGGCCAAACTCCTTAGCTTTCATGTACCACATGGGTCACATGGGTCTCACATGCGAGGCTTAGAAGAAGTTCTGGGCCAGGTGGGGCAAGGGCTGCCTTGGTGAAGGTCTGACGGAAATCATTTAATGAAATCTCTGAAAAGCTGTGAAACATCATGAAACATAATGAAACATCATGTTGTCATGTTGTAACATTCATACTCCTAGCATCTCCTAGCCCATTTAGCTCAGATTTGTTTTTATTCATTTCAGTTCCGCTGCGACATGCTTGATGTTACCAGGTGATGGGCGAGTTGCATCAGATGCACCCGAGGCGCTAAGATGGTCTGGTTGCTAGTGATTGATGTAGAGGTTTCCCAAGGCTTTTGCCATAGATTTTTATGATTTCCATGTTCTTTTGCCAGAGATGGAGTATGGAGTATGGAGTATGGAGTGATATCCCTGTGCAGGAATCAGTTGCCAGCCGTTAGCCATGTACCTGAGGACTGGATTTTGCGAAATGAAGTTAGAGCTGAGTGTTTTGGGCCACTTTTTCGGGCACTACTTTTACTTTGTTGTATTGACATAATTGACATAACTGACATAACTGACATTGTATTGTCGTTGAAATCGGTGGATGCTTCCAGATCTAGTTACCGTCAGGATGCCGTGGTGAATTTGGTTGGATGCTTCGCCGAGTCGCAGTTGGAGCAGGCGAGCAACGATCCCCGGAATCTGGAACAAGATCTGGCTGAATCGAGGAGACCTCCATGACATACCATCAGTATCCATCAGTGAAAGTGAAGTGCCAGGTGCGCCTGAAGTACTATGGGGAATCCAATGCTGCCAACTTTGCTGCTATGTGCCATACACGAGTCCAGTTCTCTTCTGCGTCGAACAAATGTGTATTTTAAATGTGATACGCCTGATAGATCCTGATAGACCGTTCACATCCGCTCACTACAGAGATATACAGAGATCACGAAGCGGATGTGTTTTGGGACAGGTACTGGCATGCCCAGAATGATCACGTGCGACCCTTGCCTTGACACTGCGAGATGTGGGACCTGACTGGACCTTTTGTGCTCAACATTCACTTTGCATCGATGGCGTCGATTTGGCCCAATTTGGCCCAATTTGGCCCAATTTGGCCCAAGGGAGCCCGGTAAGCTCTGAATCTCCATGAGGGAGAGCAGACAAGCCTGTTGGAACTTGTTGGAACTTGTTGGAACTATGAACGACAATTCAGTAGCAAAATTTCCAGCCACAAAGACAGCTATCCTTGATGGCATGCTCTAGATGTGTACGTCCCCAGAGCTACCGGCACTAAGCACACTTGGCAGCTTTCTGATCCCTTTTGAGCCCAAGATGAACTTCAAGCTATAGAGCAACGCGTCAAGCCAGCAAAATCAGAGATTGAGACAGTCATCAGCAAAATCAGAGATTGAGAACTCCATTCGAATCATTCGAACTGAAGCAGTGGTTGGTAGACATTGGTAGACCTATGTAATCGGAGAAATCTGCCTGGCTGGAGCGACTGCGCCGGCCCTGTTTAGAGCTGCCAAGGCAGAGGCGGCAATGGGACTGTTGGGAGAACTGTTGAGAACCCTAAAATCCCAAAGTTGGATGCACTTGGCATATCTAAAAATCCCCTAAATATCCCTAAATCCCATTCTTCTGCCAGCAATCATTTTCGCCATTGGGCATCCACTGCATCCACTGTCCAGGTTGCGGATGGCGCAGGACCGCGGAACAAAAAAGACATGCATCGTCAAAAAGCGAGTTATGGACTTGTGATGGCTTTACAATTTCACGTGGTTTAAGGTTGTCCTGTCAAATTTTGCCAATGTAGCTAACAATTACTAAACATGAACTTTCATTTTCTATGGAACCGTCGACTTGTTGTCAGGTTTTGGTTGTTGCCCACTTGGAGACTCTGAAAGAATTGGTGTCCATATTCAGCTAGCCGCGCAGGAGTTCCAGTATGCAGCTTCAGAAGGTGTGGCTCTTCCTTTGCAGTGCGAAGATTTCGCATCTTGAATTCGCTGCTTTCTCCATTACCAAAATAGAATTTCTGGTGCGCTAACAAGGCTGAAATCGTTGTAAGACCAAATTATGACAAGCGTTCGACGACTGATGAGTTGATCTTTTCTTTCTGTCCGAAGGCAGCTTAAGCGCTCGTTTGAATGAGGAGAGCTTCATTTCAAAGTCGCTATGTTTGTGGATTTCTGCATTTCCTACTAGCTATATCTAGCTATATCTAGCGGTTGCTGCAGGGACTCCCATGTGAACTTCGCATGTTTTGAAGGAGTCCCCTACGCCTCCATTGGTGGCAGCCTCAACATTACCACAGGTCAATTTCTGTGATCCAAGGTCCAAACTGTTCAAGAAAACTCAAGATATACTTACGATATAAATGGGCTAACGCCCTGGTGCCGCCGACCCCCTTTCAAGGGGCATGTAGCTGTAAGAGTTGTTGCCTTGGAGGCCTGCGGAAGGGTTTGGAGCGTTTGAGGGCGGGCAAACGGCAGTCTTGAACCCCGTGAAAAACATATGGCAGGAGCATGTAGCTGTAAGAGTTGTTGCCTTGGAGGCCTGCGGAAGGGTTTGGAGCGTTTGAGGGCGGGCAAACGGCAGTCTTGAACCCCGTGAAAAACAGATGGCAGGGGCATGTAGCTGTAAGAGTTGTTGCCTTGGAGGCCTGCGGAAGGGTTTGGAGCGTTTGAGGGCGGGCAAACGGCAGTCTTGAACCCCCTGAAAGACAGATGGCAGGGGCATGTAGCTGTAAGAGTTGCTGCCTTGGAGGCCTGCGGAAGGGTTTGGAGCGTTTGAGGGCGGGCAAACGGCAGTCTTGAACCCCGTGACAAACAGATGGCAGGGGCATGCAGCTGTATAAGAGTTGTTGCCTTGGAGGCCTGCGGAAGGGCTTGGAGCGTTTGAGGGCGGGCAAACGGCAGTCTTGAACCCCCTGAAAAACAGATGGCAGGGGCATGTAGCTGTAAGAGTTGTTGCCTTGGAGGCCTGCGGGAGGGTTGGAAGCGTTTGGGGGGGTTGAGGGCGGGCAAACGGCAGTCTTGAACCCCCTGAAAAACAGATGGCAGGGGCATGTAGCTGTAAGAGTTGTTGCCTTGGAGGCCTGCGGAAGGGTTTGGAGCGTTTGAGGCCGGGCAAACGGCAGTCTTGAACTCCCTGAAAAACAGATGGCACGGGCTCCGCGTCTTTTGCGTGGCAGGCGTGAGACAATGTGAGCAGCCAAGGGGTCGGATGTACGCCCTGGCGTCCCTCGGGCTCCGCGTTTTTTGCGTGGCAGGCATGGGACAATGTGAGCAGCCAAGGGGTCGGATGTACGCCCTGGCGTCCCTTGGGCTCCGCGTCTTTTGCGTGGCAGGCGTGGGACAATGTGCACGTGCACTGCCAAGGGGTCGGATGTACGCCCTGGCGTCCTTCGGGCTCCGTGTCTTTTGTGTGGCTGCCAAGGGGTCGGATGTACGCCCTGGCGTCCCTCGGGCTCCGCGTCTTTTGCGTGGCAGGCGTGGGACAATGTGCACTGCCAAGGGGTCGGATGTACGCCCTGCGTCTCTCGGGCTCCGTCTTTTGCGTGGCAGGCGTGGGACAATGTGCACTGTCAAGGGGTCGGATGTACGCCCTGCCGTCCCTCGGGCTCCGCGTCTTTTGCGTGGCAGGCGTGGGACAATGTGCACTGCCAAAGGGTCCGTTGTACGCCCTGGCGTCCCTCGGGCTCCGCGTCTTTTGCGTGGCAGGCGTGGGACAATGTGCACTGCCAAGGGGTCCGTTGTACGCCCTGGCGTCCCTCGGGCTCCGCGTCTTTTGCGTGGCAGGCGTGGGACAATGTGCAGGCGTGGTAGTCACTCACTCACTCACTCACTCACTCACTCA